GGGTTGGGTACGGAGGACAAAGAGTTAAACAAAGGTTGGGATATCTGAGCAGTAGCCCACTTATCACAACCCACCCCACTCGATGCAATGGGCAGCGCGGTCTTGATTATCCTGCGCGACGACCGATGCAGTATGAAATTATTTTTAGTTTGTGTTCATTTGTGTTAGTGGTTAGTGTTCATTGTTCATTTTGGACGGGTACTGCCAGGGTGTCCAGCCACTAGACAGAAGAACGATGAGGATTCTCGTTCAGAGCCTTTAGTTTTGATAATAACCTAACCGCAAGGTAGCGGTTAATGCAGATTGGAAGCCCATTAGCTTGGATGAATTATTCCTCCAAGACGTTTTATCGACTGAGACGCTGATTCCAGTCGAACCCCCAACCTGGAGGACCAAGAGATTGGACTTCGTCTGACCTCTACCCATTGACCTTCCAGGCATGATTAAATCTTTGGCTCGGTAAAAGCCATCCTGGGTAGCTCGTTGAGTCAAAGAGGTGCACAAGGCATCACACTACTTCAGGGTGTAGTCTTGCAGTGATGTAAAGGTAAGGTTTCACAACCATTAAGCAGAACGGAACGAAAGCTAGCATAATATACATGTCTTTTCAATTTCAGTGAAAGTCGCGTCTACGCATATGCTGCTCGAGCCTTGGAAATGCGAGTGTTCATCTCCTCTGCTGCGCTACCTTCATTGGTCACGCAACTACCTAAGTAGGAAAAGCAATCCACTGTAACTAATTCCTGGCTGTTTAGTTTTAGAGCTAGAGTAGGCGAAACCCAGTCCGGCAGCATCACCTCGCACTTTGAAATTGCAAAACTCATACCGAATTTGGCAACTGCACTTGTAAGTCTATGAAGTGTGCTTTGCGCGTCCTCCATACATTCAAACAGACGGACGACGTCATCGGCGTATTCTGGGTCGCACAGCTTTCCTTCACCTGCCCATTCAATACCTACGTTTTGGAGACCGCTTAGTGCGTTCTCCAGTATTTCGTCTACGACAAAATTGAACAGGGACAGTGAATGGAGACATCGTTGACGAACGCCGCTGCTGGTGACGAATGGCCTACCTAGTTCATCATAAACCCTTACACGCGCAGAGGTATACGAGTACAGTGACCTCAGTAAGCTAACCCACTTCTGGGGCATTTCTTTTTCGAAGAAGGTAGCCCATCAGAGGTTTGCGTTCAACCAAGTTGAAGGCTCCTTTCAGGTAAAGGAATACTGCGATCGTTGGCCGACAGTGGGTGTGACGCAGTTTAAGGGCCTGCCGCTACGTAAAAATTTGATCAGTACATCTACGGCCAGGCCGGAATCCGGCTTGCTGTTCACGGATTCTGATCTGACTTGAAGGAGTCAGACGTCGAAGTATAACCGAGTCTGAAATCAAAAGATTGTGTACGTTTTGCTACTTTTCGTTCAATTCTGCTCAGGTTATCGGTTTCCATCACTGAAATGCAGGCAACTGCAAGGTCCCAGCTGCGGTTCATCACGCAAATGGGTGTCATAAAGAAATACCTAGATATCGTGATGAAATTTTTCGTTATGACTCCGGCTGTATATTGTATATGTTGTATATGTTTTATTGACATGGTTTTTAAGTTGAGGTAACTTAAAATGGTTATTTTATATATTTCGCTCTTTAACATGGCTTCATTATCATTATCATCATCATTATCATGTTTGGGATTATATTGTTCACTCCAGATTGCCGGTCCTCCGTTGACTTGAGTCGCATTAGTACCTCTTTGAAACTAGTTTTGCTCTAGAACCGACATAAGTTTCATACAAGTGAATGCAATCCCATTTTTCCACGCATTTATGGCCTCGAGTCAATCTCGGTCTTTAAAGATTAAATCCATCTCACTTCCCGTTGCAAATGGCAGACTCGTTTACCTCCTGAGGTAAACCGTATCCTACTGGTAAAGAATTTACCGTACAACATATCGGCCGAGGAGATGTATGATATTTTCGGAAAGTATGGGGCCATCCGTCAGATCCGTATCGGCAATACACCGGAAACGAAAGGCACCGCTCTCGTCATTTATGAAGATATTTTCGAGGCAAAGAATGCTTGTGATCATCTGAGTGGGTTCAACGTTTGCAATCGGTACTTGGTTGTGTTATACTATCAACGAAATCGGGTGAGTGGTTTCTTCAGTGAGATTCTCATTGATATTTTGGTTTAGTTTATCATGCACAGTTATTTCGCACTATGATATTATGACCATTACATTCCGCCCAAATTATTCTGGTTGCAGTGTTTATCATTGTCTGTTCAATCGATTTGATTTTTGACAAACTCTCTGTCAATTCAGTATCACATTACTTGTTTCATTCTTTATACGATTCGTTGTTTCAAAGTGTTAGGTTCCGTTTCTTACGCAGCCAGTTTTTACAACCCTTAACTAAGTATTTTCATGCGCCGGTTTTAGTTGCTGTCTTTTGGATGCCCATTTGGACAAGAGTCGAAAGAAGATTGAAATGCTCAGATCAGAGTCAAAGTGAAGGTAGAGAATTTAAATAGACTGAGTAGATGCTCAATCACCACGAGCAAGCAAGCATGACGACGGGACTGCACCTTGACGTGGTGTGATGGCTTTCGTGCCTCCTTGAACATGTGAGCTATGCAGGATGGCAGTAGACAGCGGTAGATCCAATCATGCTTAAAAGGTCAACGGGTAGAGGCCAGACGAAGATCGGTCTCACAAAGCCAGCTGCCTGGGCACCTCATGGCTTCCCTTGGCTATCCAATCCAGCCCCTGGAGAGGCCACTCTAGCAAATAAACACGGTGAGGGGCAGTTTACCGGTCAAAAAACCCGCTAGATGGACGTAGGAACAGGGTACCTGGGGCTTCCTCTCGACGGTGGGAGAAGTCTTCGCACTTCATTAAACAGCTTCTGCCCGCCCAAAGTTCCCAAAGAAAAACTCCGTCGGTGTGGGCTACCGCGAAGCATGCTGTGACCTAGTGTTAGGCACTCATTTGGAAAACAATCTTTCCTATCTGTCTAGTTCTTCTTCTCAATCCTGAATAATCCCAGATGCCTCCTGTTTACGCCCCCATCAAATATCAATCAACGTTTTACAAGCAAGGCCATACAATCAGAAGTTACAGGATTTTTAAAGCCAAAATCCCCTTTTCAGTTAGCCGCGTTCAATGTCCGCACACTATCAGATCGGTGAACAAGTTGCCTTAGCTAGAATCCTCGAAATTTTCAATTTATATAAATGCTGTGTCTCCGAAACACGCAAACAAGACCGTACTTCCATTATCTCCCTACGTTCTCCTGATCCAGCCTCAACTTCACGCTTCACCCTTCGTGTGTCAGGCTATTCGGCATCCGACCCTCGCGGTGTTGCTGGTGTTGGGATTGTGTAAGTGCCAACGCGGAGCGTTCGCTTCTTGACTAGGTTCCAGTCAGTAGCCGACCGTGCGCTGTACGTTTTAACGGTTCAGCACGGGTCAACAGGTACAGAATGAAGCATCGATACTTGATTATCGTATCGGTGTATGCACCGACCGATTGCAGTACACCTGAAATCAAGGGTGAATTATGCAAGGATATTTCTCAATTACTCCAAAGTGTTCGATCAACGGATGTCGTAGTAGTCGCCGGAGACTTCAATGCTCAAGCGGGATCCCTATACGAATCAGAAAGGCTTCTTGGCGGACCGCATGCAATCCCAGCCAACCGGATGGACAACGGAGATCGCCTACTTCAACTCTGCGCGGACCACAGATTGTTCCTGTCAAGCACGAACTTCTCACGCAAGAAACGACACCGCCTTACATGGAAACCGCCAACCTCTTCACAGCGATGGACCCAGATCGACAACATCGCCATCAATTACCGCTGGAGGGGATCAATTCAAGACCCGCTCTTACTGCTCAACACCTGTTGATACAAACCACGCCAAATTCTCCCTACGCCCGGCAAACAACTGTAAAAAAGCCACCGACGACGGATACCCAAGATACCGCGTCCGCGATTGCTGCAAATCGATCTTCAAAGCAGAGCTCTCCAATCGCCTGTCAGTTCAACCACCATTCGAAGGACTCAATGAACATTGGAAGCAAATCAAGGAAGCTATGCACATATCAATAAAAACAACGCTGGACTCGAGCGCAGGTTCAAAACACAAACGATGGATCTCGTCGACCTCGACTGCCCTGCTGGACTCTCGCAAAACCCTCCCTCCTGATACCACATTACACAGCGCGCAAACCCCTTAAACGCCAGCTCATCAAGGGTCTGACGAATGATTGCGAGAAGTGATGGGTAGGAAAGTGTAAAGAGATGGACAAATCTGCGGGTATTTTTTAAATTACACAAGAAGTGATTAGTCGCAATCTTTTCCGTCTAATTAGGAATACGGGCTCCAGGAAAGTAGGCGTAAGTGAGGTTATTAAGGAATCTGATGACACTGATTTACGGTCAGCCAAGCCGTCTTGACCGTTGGACTGAACACTTCAAGACTCAGTTTAACTGGCCCCCATACCGATTTGCAAGAAAGGTGACAGGTCCTCCTGTGAAAACCACAAAG